GTCACCCGGGTTTTTTTGCATGTGTTTTGTTTTCTTTTTTTCTAAGATCCTTCTATCACATCTGCTTATCTTAAAGTTCATCCCAAGATATGAATGTGAATGTTTTTGCAAACTTATTCTTATGGGATAAAACATTATTTTTATTTTCTTACTTTATGCTGACATTTTCATCACATGATCTCAGCGTAAAACCACTTCATATTACACCTTATATATCAGCAGTATGTATTTTTAAGAGATACTCTTATATTTGTAGAGACAAAGGTAATTCTCACCAGGTCAGTTGTATGCATTGTAAGGATTTTAGCAAACCTTTTTGCAGATTCTAACCTGCTGCATTTTGTAAATAATGAGACAGATTATGACCAAACTATCTTTAATAATACAATATGAACAAAGCAAGTGTTGCAATAAGAGTAAAACTGCTGGGAAAAGCAGTGAGGGACTTAAATCAGCAGGTATTGAGAATTCTAGGGGCATTCTCTGCATGGTCACTATGATTTCAATTAATAAAGTATTTGGTATTTGATTTTTTGGCCGTTTTAGAAATCACAGCTTTCTAAAGATTTAAATCTAAAAGGTTAAAACACCTGTCAGTTTAGCTTTGTTCTATTGGGGAGATTTCCTTTGAGTTCCTGTCTTGGAGACATATTAGCAAGTGAAAGAAAATCCCTACAAAGAGAAGGGAATTCCCCACTTAGATGGTTGTCACAGGAACAGACATCTACATTGGAAGATTTAACCTCACTTACTCTTTTGGTGGCAACTCTGAAATGTTACATTTCCTACCACTATGTGTCTTGGTGACAAGGTACCTAGCAATGACAGAGAAGGTACCTAGAAGGACGCAGTGACCGAGATTTTGAGTGTCTCCTCTTTTAGAGAGGGATCACAGTCACCTCCATACTAGAAACACAGGCACCTCCATACTAGAAAATCTCCCTACAAGTGTTATCCATCACTCCTCTATTGAGAAGGGTAAAGGAGAAAAGTTTTACATGTTCACAAGCTCTTACAGAATGGCTTGTTATGGAGTAATATGTGTTATATGGTTTGTTTTATACAATAGAAGAGTTTTCCTTTTAACACAGTGCATATTTATAATACTATAGCAATGTTGCTTTGACATAAAGGCCATCAGTACCATTTAGTAAAGTTGATACTTTTATTCCTAAATCACTTATGCTTCTTATATCTTTCTTAATAAATAATGTAACAGCACTGAGTGCATTAGGTTCTCTCATCTTCAAAGAAGACCTAATTAAATAAGTAGGATCTCAATCTAAAATGGAGTGTTTTTGAAAGCACTATATTTATAATCACCAAGATCTTGGGTGTGCCAAGACTAAGCCTGATGACCTTTGTTCATCCAGTATGTTTCATTATTCATAAATGACAACACACCACCCCCTTGCCCAATCCATCTCTGTGGTGTATGCAGCCTGTGCAAAATGAATTATACAGTGATTTAGTATGATTTAATGGACACAAGGTGCACACTGGTATGTCTCAGTGTCCACTGAGATGCACTATATACAGTATGTCTATTGAAACTTGCATTTACTGTGAAAGTCAGGCCCCTGACACCCTGATACAGGTTATTGTACCATGGCAAATAACATCATAGGTATAGGTCTTGTTCTAACACTTTGCAAAAGCCTAAAATTGACAAGCTCTGTGAACTTAAACATATGCTGATTGTAATTACAACAGTTATCTCTAACTTAAATATATTCGGGTTAAACTCCAAATTTTACTTCAGATTCGATATTCCTGATGATGATAAGTGAAACCTTTTTTCTTGAGTTTCTTTTTGAGGCCTTCTCCCAATGACCACCAAAATAAGAGAGGCCTTCTCCCACTGACCACCAACGTAAGGGCGGCATTTCTCAACCAAGACACAACATGAGAAAACACTACATTTTATCTGCCTGCTGTTCTTTCCTGGGCATTATTATTATCATTTGTTTCATTTTATTAATATTACAGAAAATGATTTTGTCATGTAGAGCATCCCTAAGTGTCAAATACTGTATTTGTACTACATTATTTAATGTGTATTCTATGTGGTGTACTTACCGTATTTGACACTTAAGAGATGCTCTACATAAGAAAACAATTTTCTGTAATACTAATAAATTAAACAATTAATAATAATAACGATAACCATTTTGGAAGATTTGTGATAAGGAAGGCAAACCTGCAACCTTGGACCTGCTCCAGGATGGAGGTAAGCTGTTTTTTCTGGCACTTGCAGATCTTTGGCGCTATGTAGATGTATACTAGGCTTGACAATAAAATTAGAAACCAAAGTTGGTAAAACTGAGCTAATAAAATATTCTTCCTTTGTGTACTTTAGAGTCTTTTACTGCCATAGCTATAACATGTTATGAGCAATGCTTGATAATTGGCAGCTTTACATAGAAAAAAAAAAGTACTACAAAATGTTTAATTGTTTTAAAATGTTCTATTTTTAGCAAAACAAAATCAAATTATTTTCCATAAACTGTATTAATAAATTTTGCTTAAAGCTGAACTCCAGGCAAAAACCTTTAATTTAAATATGTTTTCCAATAGCCACAAAGGATACAAAAATCCACTTTGTGCAAACCAAATGCCTTTGTAAACCCAGTTACCCAACCCGATTACAAAGTGGCAGTAACATCATCACTGTTCTGCATATAACCACAACCTGAGAACAGAACTATGGGAAGAACCCATCAGTCTTCCCACTATAGACTGCTTACAGAAAACTAGAAGAGTGGGCGGATATAAGATCATTCACACTGCACAAAGAGTGAGAGCAGCAATGACTGGACTTTAAAACATGAAGCTCCTGAGGCAAGGTTTCATGCTGGATTACTCATGCCTATTGCCCATTGCTTATCTTGAAGTTCAGCCTCAATAAAGTGATACATAATATAAACATCATTCATGTTAATGCATAATAATAGACAAAAGTAACCTGAATCACATGGAAGCAAATTTATTTTCAAATGTTAACTGAAATCTATAAAATCTATGAACTGGTTTTCCTTGCTAGCTTATCACATATCAATAGATGATAGTACTAAAACATAACAGTGGAAGAGACTGCACAAAAAAAATAAATCACATTTTACTGTAATAGGAAAACCAATGTATTGCACTTACAATCTTAAAATTTGATAAGTGGTATGACAACAGGCTCAAGTTCCACATATACTAGGCCCCTTGCAGAGTAGCAAACTATCCCAACTGGACAGCTGCATGGAGGAGTGAAGGAATACAGATTTCACTTATCTATATAAGGGAAGCTGGAAAGTGGGCCACTTTGTATAGCAAGAATGTACACTCCAAAGAGGGGGGGTCTGGTGAAAGAAGTACCTCCAGAGGGACCTGGTGCTGTATGTGGAACTTTAGCCTGTTGACAAGCCTGAGATCAGGCTTTAAGTAATTGTAATACATTGATTTTTCTACATTACATTTCTACATCAAAAGGTGATTTTCTGCAATCATGTGCATTCTCATATCTGTTATGTTTACTGAAAGCTATATAAGTAGTTTTCTTGGTGCTGCTCTTTGCTGGTTGGCCAAATTCCTCAGTGCTGCATTGAATAGCCGAACAGTGTTCGTCTCACTTCACTTCTGATCGGTCATTCACTCGGCTGCCCTCGGCAGCTTTGTGAATAGACCCCTTAGAGTTCAGATTGGCTAATAACACCATTCAACAGAGATTGTGTGACAAAATGCCTAGACTTTTTATCATGTGATCACCACTAGAAAGCACCTGAAACAGCTTTTTTGCTTGGAAAGTTAATTGTTTCAGCCTTTCTAGTAATCTTTATTCATACATCCCAGCAAAACAGCTAACAAAGATTTAAGTTAACATTTAAATTCATGTCCTCTGTAAAGACAACCTAAAAACAACCTTTCATTTCTTTTGCATTACACAAATTTAGCTGCTTCCCTCTGCAAATGTAAATAGGAAGCAAACAGGAAGGATTAGAGCGCTGAAGCATGGAGGGAGTAAATGCTCCTAGCGGTGTGTATTTTAGGGGCCGTATTTCTGCAACATACCCTTTGGTTGGCTTAGGCGGACTTAAGGACCATTTTAACTTTACTAATAGGAATTGAATATTCTATCAAACAGTTTTTAACAAAGGTCTTTTGAAGAGTTTTGTTTTCATACAATAAACACATACATTAAAATATTTCCATTAGTTAAAAGTTATAAAAAAAGCAATATAAAAGAAAGGCATGCTCCAACAGATGTTTTTTTTCCAAGTTGGTGTGAAAATATTGACTAAACTTTAAAAAAATCAAAAGCTGGAAACCCTGTTGAATCTTCCTTTTGGTATTGAGCTTGTCCATCATACTAAAGGACCAGTAGGGAAGGGACAGGCTAGTCATCAACTTTATGGAGCAGTTCATATTTGCATATTGAAGCACATTGGCTTGACAAATAAAACACAGTAAAAGTTAAGGGCAGACACCTGAGTATTTCTCCTTTGTACTTTTAAAGCTGCTTTTCAACTTTTTGTGTGTTCTAAAGTAAATTCCTCACAAACCTGATCAATTCAAACTAAGACTATGTTTCCTCCTGTTTCCCAAGCTTCCCCAGTGGGTATTTATGCAACTAATGACATTAAAGGACCAATAGGAAGATTATGGAGGCAGGGGGAGGTGTGGCCCGACTTGACTAAAACAGGAAAAGTCAAGATTTGCAGATCATACGAACAACCTCATGATCAGCTCATGAGGTTGCACTTTTCACTGAATTTAACATATGCTTAGGCAATTTTTCATTATATGCTTAATTTGAACTGCCAAGGTTTGTGACTAGCTTACATCAGTTAACAAGCAAAAAACATAATAATGATGTACAAACTACAGAAACCCATAACATCCAGTTAGATTAGAGATCAAGAGTTACAACAGTTAAACAGGATTGTCAGATGGCTGCTAAAGTAATTAGTACTGTTATGAGTGGCTGCTAAATGTCATGTATATCTACACTTTATTGTGTTGAACATATATTTATAAAATAAAGCAATTGCAGGAGTGTTCAGACAGGTTACTTCCGAGAGTGGCTTGCAGTGTCTCACACTTCTTCTCATTTCTTTCCTATTTGGCAGTACAATGTCATAGAAAATCCAAGGCCAAAAAGCTGGAAATAACAAGATAAGTGTATCAATATTGTCCTACAACATTAGTTCCATGCTTACATACTATTATTATTATTATGCAGGATTTATATAGCGCCAACAGTTTGAGCAGCACTTTACAATATAAGGAAGACATTACAATAACAATACCATTCAAGACAAGATGGCAAGGAGGGCTCTGCCCCGGAGGGCTTACAATCTAAAAGGGAGGGGCAAGTGATACATGAGGAGGTAGCTGTGCAGGGATGAATTATTTGAATACTAAAAGGCAAGCAGCTATAAAATTGATGAAGTTGATATATGAGAACTACTGTCAAAAGGACTGTAATTCCGTTTAGCCAGTTCTGTGATCAAGGTACCTCTACTAGACAGTACAGTCTGGGTGTCCTGCCAGACAGCTCAGCCTTTGGCCTCCACTGCAGTAGAAGCAAAACTCGTTCAAGAATGTTGGTTAAAATGCACCCAGACTGCAGATTGGGCAATGAAGCAAGAGCAACACATAAATGAGTAGTCATCCATCTGCTCATTCAGCTCAGAGCATGTTATGTTAGCAACGTCATCACATCTAATCTGCTACTAATGCTTACCTTCCTTCCCTCAGTCTGAGTCCTGGTGAGCAGAGGGCATACAGGGGCATGTATCAAACCAATGAGGTATTTACATGAATTTCATTTAAAGTGTATCTATAGCCATTTTTTTGGGGAGGGGGGAGGGTGGGGGGGGTAGCGTAGGAAATATTTTAACCTCTGTCAGGATTTGTCTCTGTTTTCTGTCAGAGACACAACAAGAACTGAGATAAAATATTTTCACAGTGATGGGAGAAGTTATCTGCCCATTGAAGGATCGCTTACTTTGCCAGTGACAAATGTTGAATTTCTCATCACTCTATCCACAGCTTAAAAACACGTTTTGGCTACATTTTCATAAAAATATAACTATATGCATTGTTTTTTGTTTTTTTGTGTCTGCCTAGAATTCAGCTTTAGACCCCATTCACACTGACCCATTTGTAGCGCGATTTCAACTCCAAAATCGCTCAAATATCAGCTGAATGTCACTTAATGTAGCTTGTCTAATGCATTTCTATGGAGCTGTTCACATCTTATAGCTCAATGTTGCCTGTAGCGCGTCGCTCAAGCTTGTAGCTTGAACATGACCTATTTTTCAAAATGTGCACTGTAGCTCAATGTAGCTCAATGTAGCTCAATGTAGCTCAATGTCGCTCAGCTCAAAATTGCTTTTTTGGATGTAGCTCAGTGTGAATGGGGTCTTAAAGTGGTCCTTTACTGCCTTTGACTAAAAATCACACCAGCATACAGCTCTGAATACTTTTATGAAATCATGTTACATTCATTGGCTAAACAAACATATTTTTATTTTACTTACAATTTCTTTTTACTGCACATGTATTAACTTGTAGAATATAATTTGTTACTGAGTGTAGTGATAGGACATCCAAAATCCAAATCAAGGAAAGAAGCAACAATGCTAGAAAGGAGCAACAATGGACGAAACAAAATGTGTTTATGCAGCTGGGGTGCATTGGCATATACTGTAGTTGTGCCTTGGGGTCGCATTCTACCTCAATGCCACATCAATGCACTGCACGAGGTTCTACGGCACATTACCTTAATGTGCACATACAGTATGTGTGTATAGGGCTTAAATCCCTCCTGCACTATACATCTTAGCTGGTACAACTGGGCCAACCATATCCTTAAACAGTTAACCTGAAAATACCTAATTGTGATATAAAGCTTTGGACACTAAATGCTGTTTGTAATTTATCTGTGGTTTGCTGATTACTCACTTTCGAAGCCAAGGTTAACATTAACAGAATAGTGTTTTTTATGGTGCATTTAATAAATAGAGTATTTTCAGGGACAAACATTTTTGTGGAGCTTATAAACATTGGACTGTGCTGGAAATTGAGTCTTTGTGAGTCTCTTTGAATTGTTACCATTGTGATTAAAACAATTTCCTTAGGGAGACATTTATATTGTTATTATGGTAGATCTGTACTGATAGATATAGGCCACCTTCGAAAAGGGTAATATAAGGCTGGTGTAAACTTAAAGTGAGCCTGTGCCCATAATATTTACACTAAAGTATTTACATAATTTCAACAAGTAGTAAAAGTAGTTTTAAACAAATCCCTCATTCACCTCTGTATCTATAAGCATTGTAAAAGATTCTTGGCATCCTACCAGTCTCCTAATGTAAACACACAGAAGGTGTTGCTAAGCTGTTAGAAAGGTGGGATCATTCAGAATTAATAACCAAGGACTCCTTCACATGGGCAGTGAAAGGGGTGGTAAGACTGTGCCACCCACTGCAATGTCAGCACTGTAGCCACACATTGCTGTGCATCGCGACGGGCAAAAAATATACAGCATGTCACGTTTGACAGGTGTACTGCTTGTGAAATTCAACAATTGAAACGAATGGGGCTGTTCCACAACTACGTGGGTGTGCAGCACGGTACTGCAATAGACACTACCACTGTGGGTAAAAAAAAAGAAACCTGAATTCAGGAGGAGGCAGTATCACCTCCTGAATGCTGGGCAGCCGCTACTCCATTGCCTTCTGAAAATCAATCTAGCGATCCAGAGGGAGGGGAGACTGCAACCTGTCTAAATGAAGTCAATTTATATATCACATTAAAAGCAGCTAGAGGGATCAAGGATAGCATGTTTGTAAATGTTTTTACTGTTTGTTAAGAATACTAAGAGAGGAATTGATCAAAACTGGAGCAGACAAAATATGGAGCAGCTTGCATGGAAACCAATCACCTTCTCTCTTCCGTTTGTTCAGTTAAGATTTGAAAATTAAAGCGAGAAGGTGATTGGTTGCCTTGCACAGCTGCTACAGATTTTGTCTGCCCCAGTTTTGATAAATTCCCCTCTAAATATTTAATGTCCATAGTCGGAGGGCAGCTGCACTTTTAATATATTGCTATTCTCAGTTGATCCATACACTAACAAGTTGATATATAAAGCGTTCACACAGCGAATAGCTGTTTTCAGCGCATTACTGCCACTAGATAAAGTTGAGGAGCATAGGAAATGTTCCTCATTTGAATCTAGTGGCAGTAATGCACTGCAGACATTGTTTGCACAGCTATTTGCTGTGCAAACACATTATAAATCAGCCCCTAAATATTGGTGTCATCTGCGATTTTAAAATATTAAAAGTAGTACCTCTACCACTGCCAGTCCAAATGCTATTCCAATAATAATGAGTAGGTGGTTTTGGAAGTAATCAACGAATACAGTTTTACAAGTCTATGAAGAAAGAAAACAGTGTTAATAGAGCAGATATGTTCCACCATTCATGCAAAAGGACATTTTTTTTAAATCTCAAACTGTAACAAGACCCATGTTAGTCAAAGTTCAAGGTCTGAAGGAATACTAAAGGAAATATTTACCCCAGAAAATATGAATATACAGGAGACCTTATTCTTTACATGTTCCAAATGTATCACACATTAGGTAAAAAAAAATGTAAGAGTATTTTGGATATATGTGGTATATGTGCATTAGCAAATGCATTTAGCATATTTCCAAAATGTATTAAATTTAGGGATTAGGAATCAGCATTGTATCATGAATCATATGGAAGTATAACAAAGCTGTCCCATAAACATGAGATGACAGCTGGATCTGGGAAATTTCAATAAGTCAGGGAAGAAAATGTGTTTGTATTGTTAACCCCCTTGCTTGCCAGCATTGCTATCTTCCTTTCTTTTCTCTCCACAGAAATAAACATGTTTGGCATGTTGGGTGTTTGTGTTCATGACAGAGGTGTCAGATGATGCCCCATTGGCCAACCACCTTTTTATCTACGGTTATTTATTATATATTTATTTCTTATTTTATTTTTAATTTTTATTTTTGAATTTAATTTTATTTATTTGTTACTCTTGGGGGGGCTTCGGGGAAATAAACAGCCCCCTGATATTTCCCTTTTAAAATAGAAAAAGAAATTGAGGACATAGAGTCCTCAATTTCTTTTTTTGCAGGCTCTGATCTAAATGAATGGAAAGCACAGAGGCTTCCCATTCATTCAGAAAATATTTTACTATGATCCAGTTACTGAATGGGGAGGAGCCTCTGTACAGAGTGCTTCTCCCCATTGAGAAACTCATAAATGAACAGGAAGTGATGTAAATCACATCCTGTTCATTCATAACTGGGGACACATAGTGCTATGTGTCCCCAGTTATTTACAAACCCTGCATTGATCAGCTGATCGCTCCAGTGTTTGTCCTGCACAGATGTTCGGTACATATCACTGATATGTACCGATTCTCTGTCGCTTGGCCACGCACACGGGGGCTCAGCTCCTCCTCTAGATCCCCGCTGCTCTCCCGGGCAGAGGCAGTGGGGGATCCGAGGAGAAGTAAAAGAAGCGCTTCAGCCGCGGAGCAGCGGAGGAGGTAGCCGCTGTCACAGAACTAAGGCTGAGCGGTGAGAAGAGAGAGGGGCGCCGACTGTCAGATTCTGGCCGAGCATCTCTCTCTCTCTCCTCACTGTTCGGCTCCCTCCTCTGCCCCTCCGCCGCCGGCTGCAGCGGTTCCTTCACTTCTCCTCAGATCCCCGCTGTATGCAAATGGCGAGAGCAGTGGGGATCCAGAGGAGAAGCTCCAGGACATTGCGATCTACCAGTGATCGCTACTCGATCTACTGGTAGATCGCGATCAACGTAATGGGCACCCATGCAGTACATGAACCTAATCTTATGTAAAAAAAAAACACTACAAAAGTCTACAGTTTCCCTGAATGTTATACAGTGAACAGGAATAGCCCTTTTCTCAGACAGTGACAAAAAAACTGGAGCTTGCAATTTATTTATGTCATGACAGGGTTTACGTCTTTATTAATGGTACACATAAACTGATATAACAAAAAATGGTGGTAAAGTAGACGTAAAGTAACAACACATGCAGCTAAGTAAACTGCTTACTCATGCAGATGTGATTTCAGCTGATTTATTTTGGGCTCAAGAGACACACAAAAAAGAAAAACTACAAGTATGTTTTGGCCATCTTAGTACCTCTAATTGCTATCTGGTGTTAGTCTCCTTACTTTCACATCAGCACAAATACACTTTACATATCAATCCAGGAAAAGGGGGTGGTTTTTTTTACCTCTTTATAGTATCCATTACCCCCACATGTGGTTGGATCTGATGCTGTTTTGCACTGACATGATTCAGAAGAAACAGTCCCCCAGTCTTGAATGCCATTAAAAATACCACAGCATTTATTCTGTAAATAAATAAACAAATTACACAGGTCAGAGAAAATGTGTACTCACTGTGATTTCCATTACAATATTATTTTTCAGAAATTAATTTGGTATTGCTAAATAGAAAAAAAGGTAACAATATACAAAATGTTCAAAATGAGATTCAGAAAATATTACATACTGAATTGTTAAAATCAGTTACACCAAATAATTTGCCTTAGGGTAAGATTGTAGTTATTTATGTAGAACATTTATGTTCTATGTGTTAACATTATCATGGAAAGTAAGACAATTCACAGGAGTGATTCCACATTATAATGTGGGCACAGATAAGACATGTTAATAAACATACTACGTTTTGGGTTTTGGAATTGTTCAACAAATGCTGGATATGAGATCTATTTCTGTTAGCTGTACGCACAATCTTTTTTCAAAATATATTATGAAGAGACATCTTATGCAGCTGCAAAGCACTTCAGATAACATCCTGTAGGGGAGCTTATGAAACCATAAAATGTCTACACTGCCATTTACTAAATTGGTTCACCAGGTGGCAAAATGAGTACACGTTGGCAGTGAGCAGTTGTAGTGGAACACCAAGATATTTGATATATTTGATATATTTGATATAATTTAATGTTTGCATTCATCGTTTTTTTATTTTAGATATGCATTTGATACTGGATTACATCTTCCATTACACAAGAGGCCATTTCCATGTATAAGTAGTTTTTATAGCATAAGACTACAACACTTTTGAGCATTATTTTGTTTTACAACACATTGATGTTTCCGGAAGCAAGTGTGAGAAGTGTAAAGCCTTCAGCATGTAATGAAATATAATTGTTCTATCTCACCTCTTTTTCAATGGTTTTCAAACTTTGTATAAAGTCAGGAGTTTGTTCATTTAATGGTAAAAGTTGAAATAAAGACTCGTTTACTGCTGCTTCAATCTGGAACAAAGAAGTACCGAAGAAAGTGAAATGTAACTCATACTGATTTAAACTTTAAATTGGCAGCAGATGTTTGATAAATGCATCCAACATACCTTTGGTTTATAGACAACTCCCAAAACGCCTGCTGTTATCTGAAGAACCAGGATCAGAAGCAAACCAATAAAGAACTAGGCAGAAATAAGGAAAGAATGGTTGATAAGGGTCACAATGTGGTAACTGTCTTTAAGAATAACAAAAAAAGACTTAATAAGGCTGAATATCGTAACAAAGCTAACAATAGGATGAAAAAACATTGATCAGACTGGATGGCTATTGGGATGCCAGTTATCACAGCTGGTAACTTTAAAGAGGAAAAAATGGGACATAAAATAAGGCCCTACAACAAACCGGTGAATGTTTTGTTCTGTTTTATTAAAAATACCTTATATACCCTTATGTGACTGAAGTTCCTTTGGCATGTGTCCCCTCTGGAGCCAAAAAAACCCACCTTCCTCTATTCTCTCCTTCTTTTGTTACTGTTTTATTAAATCACTTTACAATCATGTCAAGCGTCTATTGGTCTATACATTTGCAATGTACAGCTGTACCAAGCAAAGGCCAGGCTGATGGATACATAAATAGGGCAAAAACATACGTACATATAGCACATATATTTTCACCCCATGTAGCTTAGAAGCCAATAGTAGAGTTTGATGTAAGCGGAAATCGAGAACCATATTGGCCTAATGACCAAACATTCCCAACACACCAAAATGTAAGGAAATAAACTTTTTTTAATTTCAAGATGTAGTATGTATGTGCAGTGTCTGCCATCAATTAATGCACAAAGTTTGGTGTTTAATTGTCTAGCTAAAATTGTCTCCATAGCGAAAAAATTTTGGGATAAAGTAGAGAAGTATTAGTACTCCTGTCTAATTTCACTGCAGTCAGAGGCTCTGTTTGAGAGGTTCCTTATCTTGTCTTGACTTCCTGTCAAGTAAAAAGCTTGTCCCCAGAACAGAAAGTGAGGGGAAATCTTTCTGCTGAAACCCCAGGTATCGGTGAAACAGGGGTTCTAGATTTTGCCCATTCGATCTAAAACCAAAAAAAGAAAAGAAAAAGGTTTTGGGTATAGTTGCACTTTAAAATTATTAAAGATGCAAGCATTCAATACTTTCCTTAGGGACCTTCCTTCAGAAATTTAAGGAAGGTCCTAGAAGCTTTCAACTTAATGTTCTGGGGACAACTCTAATTTTTTAAATTTCACCTCACTGGCCTTCTAAATAACAAGGGTCACCAGAATAAACGATGGGGTGGATTTCCCCAAAGGGGACAAAAACAGATATAAAAACTTAATAGAGGGTCCAACTCTTCTCCACTCTATCCAACACTGAAAAATACATAAATAGACCAATTAAAGGAGATGCTACGATATATTATGACAAAAATCAAAATTCATAAGGAATTGTGATCTGCAGCTGAGACTGTGTTCTGTGAATAGACCCCTAAGTCCTGAGTCCAGTGCATTACTAAGTTCACAGTTCAGCACATTACTAAGGCTCAAGTTCAGTGCGTTACTAAGTCCGGAGTTCAATGCGTTACATTTTTTTTTGTGTCTGCCTAAAGAAGGGACCACTAGGTTCTGGAGTACGAGTGACTTTCCATTCAATCAGTGGATTACCAAGTCCAGAGTCCAGTGCGTTACTAAGTCCAGAGTCCAGTGCGTTACTAAGCCCTGAGTCCAGTGTATTACTAAGCCCCAAGTCCAGTGCGTTACTAAGTCCAGAGTCCAGTGCGTTACTAAGTCCTGAGTGCAGTGCGTTACTTAGTGCCGAGTCCAGTGCATTACTAAGTCCAGAGTCCAATTAATATACTGTTCTGCATTACTGTATAATATATTCGTTGGATTTGTATTCCCCCACAGCCAGTGCCATTCTGCATTAGATTGTAAGCTCCTCTGTGCAGAAACTAATGTGACCAGCTCAGTGTTCAATGTATAGCCTTGTGGTATATGTCAGAGCTATATAAATGTATAATAATAATAGTGTGAGACTGTGGGGGGACCACGAGCTGCATGTGCAGTGAAGGGACCCCAACCAGCCCACCTGAGACTCGGCAGAACCCACCATAGAGAGTCTCAGATGGGCTGTGCAGGATCAGGGTCACTGTCAGGTGGGCTGCGTGGGGTCTCAGGGGGGCTCTGCAGGATCTCAAGTGGGCTCTCTGGGGCCTTAGGTGGGTCCAGAGTGCAGTGCATTACTAAACCCTGAGTCCAGTGCGTTACTAAGCCATGAAGGCTGTATGGGGCCCCATGATTTCTTGTGGTGGCCCGAGTAGGAGTACAGAGTTGTTATTGGGGCATTTGTTTCTATAACTTAGATGAGAAGGAGCAATGTAAAGCAAAAGTACATACCAGAATTAGGAGGCAACGACTTTCCTTTATGGCACCACAGCATCCAAAAAATCCAAGTACCATAATTATTGATCCAACAGCTATCATTACATCTATTCCTGACATTATACCGCTTCCACTAAGATTCAGTTTCTAAAGAGAGAAAAAAATCACTTGTATAACACATTCTTCCACCAAAGTAAAAATCAAAAGTAACATTGACATGATTATTATTAGAGGTGCACTGAAATGAAAATTTCAAAACCGAAACGAAACTGAAATTTAAAAAAAATGTCAGGCCGAAACCGAAAATGTTATTTTTATTTATTGATTCATTTTTTATTAAATATTTTTATTTTTTTACTTTACTTTTAGAGGCTTCGGGGAAATATTAGGGGTCTAAACAGACACCGTGATATTTCCCTTTTAAAGTAGAACAAGAGATTGAGGACACAGAGGGGTCTATTCACGAAGCTGCCGAGGGTAGCCGAGTGAATGACCGATCTGAAGTGAAGTGAGCCGAACACTGTTTGGCTATTCACTTCAGGCTAGTATGGCTAATTTCAGCCGTACATCGGCTCAAATCAGCCGTACATCGGCTTGCTCCGTGTGGCTTCGGGTCGGCCGAACATGCTCAGCTGAGCCGAACCCCCGGCAGGCTACTCACTGCTGTTTGGGCTATTCTTAAAGATCACGAACAGCAGTGAGTGAATAGCCGAATGCC